GAGTTTTCTCGGCGATATCTAATGTGAATTTGAACCAAAATTTTATCGGCAAGACTCAGAATACGACTGTGACAGCCACTGAAACGCAATTAAAGGCAAATGAACACGTCAAGCAAAAAAAGACTTTTTCAAGTCATGGTGTAAAATGGAGGCACATGCCATTTTGACTTTTAAGGGGAATGGAAATCAGTTGATTTGAGGATGTCACAAAAAGCAAGGGAGTAAATCGTTTTTATGCTACAAAAAATGCAGACCTTGAACATACTTTTTGGACTTTAGTACAACGTCATTTTTGTTTGATTACCTAACGTTTTTAGGTTCATTTGCTGAAAGTTACAGAGCACCTAAGCGGCTGTCCCTCAGCAAATAATGAAGCAAAGGCATTTTCGATGTCCAAATCGCGAAACTCTCCCTTTTTACGCAAACTGGGAAGTTCGAATTACTAAACGAACTACAGGACGACGAAGATGAAATATCCAAGAACCAACACATACCAAAAATTATATCTCAAAAGTGAATATTCGTGGTGTATTTTAAGTCTAACCGGACCGGGAGTGTTAATTTCTTAGTACTCTAAATATCCAAACATATTTTAGTATAAGGTAGTAAATAGATGATCGATGCTGTAACATGAGGGTCTTGAGCATGTTACCAGTTTCCCCAACATATTTAATGTGAAAAATATTATAAGATAAACAACACTACTAGTATTGCAAGTGATGTGTTCTCTAATACCAAAGATGGTCGTGGTCTTGTTACCAGTAAACGTAGTCGACTGTTTAATGTGGTGGAATGTAATGCACTGTTTGGCATTACAAGGATAGCAACCTGGGGGTCTCTCCACTCTTTTGTCTATAAATTTAGATCTCGTATTGGATATCACCTAAATTAGGGCACCGTCTGTAAGCTACCATAGGGGGTAGGTTTTTAAGTCTCTGATTGGAGTGCAACAGAGGGAAATATTTGCGAAGTATGTTGGCGATATTAGGGAGTGCTGGATTGTATGTTATCACAAGTGAGAGTTAAATTTGTCCCGCTGAAATCCTAACTAAAGTTGGAATGTGACCGACCAACCCATCCACAATCTGTTTAAATGGAATTGTACTTTCCAAGTTTTATTCATTAGTTTTAAATTCTTCAATGTATAGGCTAAAGAGACTTTTGCAGCCCAAATTCAGTGTCAATGATACTTTAGCAAAGTTGCATCCAAGGAGAATGAATCCTCAAAGTGTGTTGTGATTTATGGCATAACTTATGTACTAGTAATATATTGTGTGATATGCCAAATAAAGTAGAATGCTACACAAACGTAAAACAATTGTAATTTTTTTTACATATAAGATATATCATGTTACAAAGATGAAGGAAATGAAATGAAAAAATAGGCTCACCATCAGTTCAGAGAAAATCGATCAATAAAATACAGAGAAGCTAGCAAGTTTTGTCTGTTTAAGGGCATATTACCATTGTTTCTTATGACAAGCATGTATCCCAATGGGTCAAAATGTAGCTCGGTAACATTTGGTAACAAACAATATATAGTGACTTACACATTACTTTTCGAGGTCTTTAATTTTTAACAGATTGACATGAACCAACAATTCACATGCTTTTGACTATAAATACTAGAACGAATAATTGTAGACAGATTTTGACACGAAATAGTGTCACTGCTATGTGCGCTAAATTCTGTGAAAAACGAAAAACATTCCACCATAAAATGTTTCGACAATGATATTAAAATACGTCCAATCTTGTAGTAGTGGATCTAGTGTGTGCGTGTCCGTGGGAATGGTTCAGGAATCCCTTCCAAAAATGGTAAAATATTTCAATATTGAGTGTAATAACTTAAAAAGCGTAATACAAAGTAAGCCAATTACATTTAAAACTGGGAACATAAAAATGTCTATAACAGAGATCGAAGATTCCAAAGAATTCACACTTTCTTTCCTTTAAAATTCGCATATTTCACATCAAACATACCGGTAATATTATTTTCGAACCCCCTTTTCAAAGGTGCTGGCCACGGGCCTGGTATTAATACAAACTCCAGCATCCAAATCAAAAACCATCTATGCAGACAAACTAAAGCACCATCTTGTTTGTTATGTGAATGGGAATCATTTATAATCCAGATGTATTTGGGTAACAACAGTTAATAGTGCAGCATGGTTACAGAAATACATTAAAAGAACAGAATTATTTAATCCTCTTGTGGAAAATGATGCCCATGAGTTTCTTGTGATTATATTTGACATATTAGAAAAATATGACGTAAACAGTAATAATATGCCAGTACATACTTTACAAAGTATATTTATGGGTATCTATAATAACACACAACTCAAAACACTGCATATCAGAATGTTAGAGTTGAACCATTCACTGTTTTACAACTTCCTATCACATATTCTAGTAATAATGAACCAGTTTCTATTTCAAATTGCCTTAATGATTGTTTTAGTGAAGAAATAATTCGTGTAGTCATTGCAAAGAAGTTCATGACATTGTAAAAAAAATGTGACCAATCAAGTATTACCACCATACCTTGTTTTACAGTTGAAACGTTTTTCAAATTTGGGGAATAAAATAGAGACACCTGTCAAGTTATTCAATTAATTTAAACTGGTCTGAGTATGTAAGCAACAAGTTATATGGTGTAATAGTACATCAGTCTAATCCATTACATTACTATGCCTGTATTAAAGCATCTGATAATATCTGGTATAAATTCAATGATGATAGCGTAACACTTAATATTAATATCGAAAAAGTTTTAAATGAACAGGCTTACATGTTATTTTATCAGTTGATATATTAAATAGTATTTTTTATAAATCCACCAATTACAGTCAAGATACTTAGTTGGCAAGATTTATCTACTGATGTGAAAGATCAGGTTCAAAATAAGGCTGATGTTAGTTAATCTCT